CCCCAAAACCCCAAAACCCCAAAACCCCTAAAACTAGAATATTAGAAAATGAAAATTTTGAATCGATTTTATAAATAATATAATCTATTATCATTATTGGACTACTTTCTTTTTCACTCTTGCTGACTCCAAATTTTCTTTATCTTCTTTGGCTTTAGACTTCTTCCTTGTAGTTTTCTTTTTTAGTTTTACAGGCTATTCATCTAAATCCTAATCTTACAAATCTTTCAAAGTAAGCTATCTTGTTCTGGCAATTTCAAGTTCATTCTTGAGTTTCATAATAAGCTGCTTTTATTCTCTCCTTATCCTTTCACTTTTTTAAAAGCTCTCAGTCATATTTTTTAATTCTTGCTCACTTTCAATTAATCTCTCTGTATCCAGATCTTTATATTAAGCCTTCTTGCCTAGTTTTTCAACCATCGATATTAATTCCTAATTATTCTTCCTTTCTTGTCTTAATTCTAGTTTTGTATGGTCCAATTCTTAGTGCATCTTTTGATAAGCTGCTAAAAGCTTTTTATACTTTACCTCTTTCTAATAATTTTCCTTTTCATTTTAATAAGATGAGCTTTATAGTTATGTCATAGACAAGTTGTTAATTGCATATAAAGTGTTATTAGCAGGCTTATAAGAAGATTAATTTAGGTTCTTTTTAGAGGAACTCCTAAATGACTGGCTTCTGCTAACCCTATTTTTACTTACAGATCTACTTTGATTTAGTTATAATTTAGGAACTCTTGTGACCTACTTCGGATTTTATCTTTCAGTTTCTCTGCTCTTGCTTCTTCTAGATTTGTTGTTTAATTCCTAGAGTTGCTTCTTAAGTTTATTGATTTCTTGAGATGTCTTTTTAAGTGATTCATCTGACTATGCAGATTTATAACTACCTCTTGAAATACTTGATTTTTTATTAGATGATCTGTTTGTCAGCTTTCTAGGTTGGGATCCCGATGATTTTCTATTAGATGATTTCGATGTATCCAGATTCCTTTTTGTCAGGTTTAAATTCTTGGTCATTTATTCAAGCTCCCTTTCATCTTCATCAATGTCTGTAATCTCAGAAACTTCAGATTTCCTTTATTTAAGTTTTCTCTGCTATATTGGTTTAATTTATTGCTCCTCTTCACTATTAATATAATCCTTAGAATTATAGTATCTCATGTCCATTTCTCCTGTTTCATCTTATTTCTATTGCTTTTCATATCTTTTCGGCTTCTATTTTCTATCATCTCTACTTTATTCATAATTAAAGCTGAAACTAGCCTTGGTATCTCTTAACACATTAGTTTGCTTGATAATTCCCTTAAGCCTCTCGTTCTTATTTACCTTAGTCCTCCTCATACTATCATTATCCTCCTTAATTTTCTGTTCCAAGCCCATTATCCTTTACTGAAGTTACACTAAATCTTGATGCATATTTGCTCCATTACTTGATGTACTATCTAATAAGGGATTCTTCTTTTGATCATTCAATTTAAAGTTTATTGTTTCACTAGATTGCTTTACCTCCTCAATTAATCTTCTTAAAGATTAGTTCTTTGATTGAGAAGGCTATTAAGAAATAGGATTATACACCAGATGAGAGTTTTGTAATGAATTGTCCGCATATTTCATAGATGATATTTAGGTGTTATTTTGATTTCTTAAGGGAATATAGGACTGAGAGTTTTGATGATTAAAAGTTTAGCTCTCAAAAAGCATATTCCCTTTTGCAGAAGGACTTAACCCTCGAGTACCTCTAAAAGATAATCCTCTCTCACTAAATTTCAAAGCCTTAATTAGATTTACAAATATCTTACGTTGATTTTCTAAGTTCCTAAAGACCTTCATCAAGAATGCAATGCATGTGGCGTTCTTAGTCAATGCTTACATCAGTTGGCAATAGTTTTGAAGAAGATTGATAATGTGACATTTATTAATTCAAATTTATTTATTAACTGCATTTTAAGATTTGACAACTGCTGGGGTTTTGGGGTTTTGGGGTTTTGGGG